AAAAAAAAAAAAAAAAAAGGCATCATTTTCGTGAGACAAAAGGAGGATGTCACTGATGAAAAGGGTTCACAGAACGGACTTGGGAAAAAGAAAAAAGAAAAAAAAAGAGACAAAAAAGAAAGTTTTCGCCTACCGAAAGCTGTTCTGGCCTCGAGGACCTGACCTCGGAGACGCATTTTTTTCACAGACTGCACGCAGCCTCCTCACAGGAAGTCCCAAGTGAAGTAGATTTTGAAACGCCTCGGCCGGCTTTGTTATTAGGACTCGTTGGGAGCCCGACTTTGTATAGATGATTTTTTTTTTTTTTTTGAAGGCTGCTAAAAGGGCTGTGAAAGTGAATATAATACTCTGGGAAGAGGTCCCACTAGCAAAGAGGATTGAACTGAACTCCTGGATCTGGACGTGGTTGTGGAAAGGTGCAGAAGATCGAGATTGAACAACGTTTCTGGATAACTGCATAAAACACGTCCAGATTCAGGAGCTTCGTCCAATACTCTTTGCTAGTGGGACCTCGACGAAGTTCCGATTAGTAAATCTTAGGGGACGGGAAAAAAAAAACAGAAAAAAAAAGCCACAGAAAAAAAAACAAAAGGATTCTGATAATTTTTTGGAGGGTCCACTAGCAACGGGATAGGATAGAAACGCGTTAGTAAGAAGTTTGTGGGGCAGTCGAGTGACCCAAATCCTGCCACGCAGTTCTCGTGATCCCACGGTCAGTATTTTTCTTGTATTTTATTACCCGAAAAAGTACGGAGATCTTGGTTCCCCTCCTCCTCTCCTTAACACTGGGCATGCCGGTGCAAAGGAAGCTTCCCGCCAAAATCTTTTCAATCCGTTGGGGGCATGGCCAACCCCAAAAGAGAGCGGGGTCGGCCATAGGCCGACAGGATAGAAGATTTTCAGTATTTTGCTTGCTGTTGTGCAATTATCTCATTGGGTGGAGCCCTCCTTCAATCACGGAGTATATATATGGAGGGCGTCAGGATCACTGCTGACAGAAGTTGAGTTTATTCCAGAAAATGTGGCAGTTACTTTCTGCACTGTTTTTGCAAGCACCACCATCAGATCATTTGTGATCTGATGGCTAGGAAGAACTCTGCCGTGATTTCAGGTGGGAGGTCTCTGTTTCTTTTTTTTTTTTTTGCCTTTCTTCTGTTTTCTCAGCCTAGAAATTCATTTCGTAATGAACCTGTCAGGCCGCTGCCACTCAGTGTCACACTGGATCGGCCACACTCCTATCCGACTGCTAATGGCACCACACCCCAGTTGTTGTATAAGCGAAACTGGCTAATGCTGGGGTCCTGGGGCCAAGTCCCACTAGCAGTAGCTCAACGCCTAAATCTGGACGTGTTTGTGGAGACGTGCAGTTCAGGAAACTCAACACCATTTCTGCACATCACGGCAAAAGCGTCCAGATTCAGGCGTTGAGGTAGCTCAACGCCGCTAGTGGGACTTGGCCCCGGAATGGGAATTGACTGTGGCCCCGGAATGGGAATTGACTGTGTTTACCAAAAAAGAAAAAGAAAAAAAAGGAAGGATTCTGATCTAGGCTAGCAGAGTGGTTGTGCCCGGAGGGGGCAAAAAAATAAATAAGTAAAAAAAAAGTACTTTATTTTATTTTAGGCTAGGCTACCAGCCGGGCCGCCCGGGTCACCCTATTTTCCCGGGCGGCCCGGCCGTGCAAGGACCAGGGAAGGTCCCAGCCAAAAAAAAATCAAAAAAATCCGAAAAAAACTAGGCTGCCAGCTGTCCGATTGGGGGACATCTCCCCCGGACGTCTCGGGGAGACGGTCAGGGGGGAGTTGTTCGGAAAATTGGACAACTGCATTTTTGGCAAAAAAAAAAACGAAAAAAAAAAAAAAAGAAGGGGGTCTGCGCACCAGTAGGGGAACCCCCCCAAAAAAATTCAGGCTGTTTCGAGCAAAAACGAAAAAAAAAATCATATTGGGTGAGGGAGGTGTGATGGTGGGGATCAAGATCCTGTCGAACCAATTGATTCGACGGGATCCCGACTGATTGATTGATTGGTAGATTGATTGATTGATTGATTGTATCGATTGATTGATTGTATCGATTGGTTGATTGGTTGATTGGTTGATTGATTGATTGATTGATTGATTGATTGGAGAAAGAAAAAGACGAGAAAGAGGAGGAGGACGACGACGATGAGGAGGAGGACGACGATCATGCGGAGGAGGAGGAGGAGGAGGAGGAGGAGGAGGAAGAAGAGGGGAAAGAGAGGAGGAGAAGGAGGAGGACGATGAGGACGAGGATGGCAACGATCGACCTCCCGGCTTGGCGCGTTGGCGGAGAGAGTCCGGAGGCGCGATGACGGAGATGCTCTTGGGGAGCATACTAACAGCGATCGCGCTGGCAGCTATGGTGCTCATTGGCGTGGTCAGCTTGTCGTCGGCCGGCGGGGCCTTTTGCTCTGGTGGAGGTGGTCTCCCTGTCTGTCAATGCCGAACCCATCTTATCATGACGTGCATCGTCAGCAGCCCCGCCTGGCGGCCTCGTCTTGATTGATTGATTGGAGAAAGAAGAAGACGAGAAAGAGGAGGAGGACAACGACGATGAGGAGGAGGAGGAGGAGGAGGAGGAGGAGGAAGTAGAGGAGAAAGAGGAGGAGGAGGACGACGATGACCACGATGAGGAGGAGGACGGTGATGACGAGGAGGACGACGACGACATCGACAGAGAAGAAGAAAAGGAGGTGAAGGACGATGACGCGGAGGAGGAGGAGGAGGAGGAGGAGTTTGAGGAGTACGAGGAGGAGGATAACAACGATAAGGACGACGAGGAGGAGGAGGAAGAAGAGCAGGAGAAGGAGACGAACGAGGATGGGGAAGAGGAAGAAGAAGAGGAGATGGAGGAGGAGGATAACGACAACGAGGACGACGAGGAGGAGGAGGAAGAAGAGCAGGAGANCCATTGTTATTATTATTATTATTATTATTATTTTTTAATCATCCGACCAGAAGAGGCAGTGGGAGGGCGTTGGGGTGGGGTGTGTGTGATATTGTGTGATATGACGTGGACCCATATTACTATTTAGTTAAAAAAAAAATCCTTTAGCAAGTGTGTCCAGGATGTTGTAGAGGCTTAGGGCTTCGTCCGACACCACTTGAACTCAAGGGTTGAAGGAAAATTCTTTTTTCGACCCCACCCTAACCGCTCCGCGGAGTTGTTTCTACTTTCCGCTTTCCAGCTCTCAAGTGCCGCCCTCCGACCCCCTCGAAACTCAAGTGCGGCCGGGGCAAAATCGCACTTGAACTCAAGGTACCTCTCTGGGGAGCCTTGAGTTCAAGTGCCAGGGGATACCGCTAGGCGCCAGCACTCCAAGTGGGGCTTGTTTTTTTTGTTTTTGTTTTTTTCCAGCAGGCTATCCTGGTCTAGGGTTGGTCAGCAAGCCGTGGAGCTCGGTTTCAAGTGTGCAGCCTGTTCAAGGGTTTCTTCAAGTGCACATGGAACCATAAATGGAGTAAGTGTAAATTAATCACAATTAAAAAAAAGGGGTAACTTCGGCGCAGTCACAAAAACAGTTTGTAATTGCATTCGAAACTGCGTTTTAGCAGTTTAGTCAGGGCCCGAGTTTCAATTGCAGTTGAAACTCGGGCTGCCTTTCGGTAGCAGTTCACTCAGGGCCCTCTTCTATCCACGAAGAGCAGATTAAAAAAAAAAAACAAAAAAAAAACCCATCCCTTATGCTGTGATTGTGGTCCGATACAGGATGCTACAGTACTTGCTGAAGCGAGTCAGTTAGCTGCCTCGCGTGGAATCCGCCCTGCCTGGCTGGCAGGGCGCTACAAGGACCTGACAACGAGAAACAAAAAAGGAAAACTACCTGTTTCATGTTCTTCACTTCCTGGCCAGATACATTCCTCAAAGCACGTGGATTCGAAGTTCCTCTTTATTTCTTCTTTTTCTTTTTTCTTTTTTTGGCTTCCATCCCTGCCCCGAGCCCCCCACTTCTTCGGAGTAGGGTACTCTTGAGACTTCGCGTTTGCCTAGTGCCTGCGAATGTCGGCTGTGGCCAAGACATCTCGGACCTGGCCAGTCTGGGGTGTGGCCGAGACATCTCGGCCGTGGCCAGTCTGGGGTGTGGCGGAGACATCTCGGCCCTGGCCCAACCATGGAGCTGGTTTTTTTTTTTTTTTCCAGCCACGGAACGACGCGGCGCGTTGCGGCCTACAAAAAAAAGAAAAATAAAAAAAGAAAAATAAAAAAAAAATAAAAGAAAGAAACCAAGAAAGAAAGAAACGGCCATGTGCCTGACTGAACTGCTAGAAAAAACCAGCCCGAGTTTCAAACTAAAACCAGTTTCAACTGCAATTGAAACTCAGGCCCTGACTAAACTGCTAAAACGCAGTTTCAAATGCAATTACAAAAAAAATGCAATTACAAAAAAAATGCAATTACAAACTGTAACCCTGACTGCGCCGTAGTTTTCTCTAAAAAAAAATAAAAAATAAAAATCACAATTTCTCATTTAGTGTGCACTTGAAAACTCAAGTATTTTCAAGTGGTGTCGAACGAGGCTCTTAGGACCGCAAAGGGACAGCGTGCACGTTATCCAGGACCAGGTAGTGTCCGGACCGGACCGGAGCGGTGGACCAGGTGCACGTTATCCAGTCCCTTGTGGGCGAATTGCGGCCCACAAGCCAGAAAGTCGGGGGGCCTTTCCGGGCATAATTTACTGTGGACGTCAACAACAAAGAACTGGAGTTCATCGCGATAGCCTAGCTTTCGGCAAC